ACCCATCACACAGGGTCACCACCAGGGACACCCACCACATAGGGTCACCACCAGGCTGGCTCCAACAGGCCCTTCCTCTTCTTCATCACTCAGTCTGGGCACAAAGCTGGGCTCAGCCCTGGCGAAGCTGCGGTGCAGGTGGGTCCTGCACTGGCCCAGGGCCCAGCCAGGAGCCCCTGGAGCCCAGCTGGGTGCCTCGGTGTGGTGTCAGCCCCATTGGCGTGAGGAGGGGTCGGGTGGGACATGGGGCAAGGGTAAGGTTTCCATGGGCCTGGTTGTTTCTTTGGTTTAGATGGGGGGAAATAAGAGGGAAGCAGAGCAGAGAGCAGCTCTCTGGGCAGGCTGCAGCATCCCCCTGGCTCGCTCCAGTTCCCACATCCCGGTGCATCCCTATGGCAGTGCCTGGGCCCCCCTCAACACTTCTCATGTCCCTTCCGGGTCCTGCCTGGCTCCTGGCAGCAGGATGCGAAGCGCAGAGGGGAGGAGCTGCTGGGTCAGTGGGTTATGTACAGAACAGGGTCAGGAGGTAACAACACCCTGGTGTCCGCTGCCTTCAGGGGGTTGTGGTTTGCTCCAGCACTGCTGTGTTGCTCCAAGACCCCATGGATCCATACAGGAGTCATCGGCAAGGCCAGACAGAGCAGCAATGGGATGGTGTGTTGCTGCTCCCCCGGTGCAATGAGGGATGGGTGTTATCCTGGTGGGAATTTGGTCCGGGAGCAGGTGGTGAGTCCCAGAGTCATGGAGGAGCTGGAAGCTGGGAACGGCGAGCAGAGCTGTGGGAGCTGCTGCGTGTTGATGGCTCTGACACCTCAAAGATGTGGCAGCGGGAGGGAGCAGAAGCCAGCACTGCGGCACCTAAAGCTGTGGTGGTTGGGGATGTGACTGCAGGGACAGGGACAGCGGGAGAGCTCTGGGTTGGCGTTGTCCTCCCCACCACAGCCATGCCAGTCCCACCGCGGTGGGAGCTGACGGTCCTTCTGCACCCACAGGAGCAGGCCACCTCCTCATCCTCACCTCCTGGCTGTGCAGGCAGGAGCTGCTGGCCACCACAGCAATAAGCCCCTCAAGGCCAAGGAGCTTCTGGCTTCTCCTCAAAGCAATCCCAGCTCAGCTCCTGCAGCTGGAGGTGACACCGTCTCCCTGGAGGAACGTTCCCATTTCTTCCCGTTTTGCTGCAGTGGGACCAGTCTCCCCACAGTTGCCTCCTCTCTGTCACTGGGACAAAAGAATACTACAAAGAAAGAGGATGAAGTCACTCCAGCGGCTGCTGCCTCGTCCCCAGAGGGATGGGGACCAGGTCTTGCCGTGATCCTGCTGCCGGCCTCGTTCCTGGGGGAGCCTCCGTGCTCTACCACCAGCCTCCACCACGGCCGGGAAAGAAAAGGGGCTGAGCTCCCGGCGAGGGCAGCCTCTGCTCCACTCCGAAACATCTCTCCCATGGGAGCAGCCCGGTCACCATGTCCTGCTGCCTTATTTCTTCTCCCCTTGCCCGTCCCCTGCTGGTGTCTCGGGCTCCCACAGGACGAACTCGTGGAGCAGCGTGTTGACCGTCTCGGGACACTCCATCATCACCATGTGGCTGCCCTCATCGATCACCTTCAGGAAGGCGATGAGCAGGATCTGCAGGGACACAGCGGCGGGTGTCAGGGCTGGGATGAGCCCTCTGCATTGCAGAACCCTCACCCAGCCCAGCTCCGTCCCATACCTCGGCCATTCGCTGGTCCTCCTCCACTGGGACGAACTTGTCGTGCATGCCATGGACCAGGAGCACGGGCACAGCCAGCTCGGCGTGGTAAACCTCGTCCCCCTCGGGCCAGTACTGCCCGCTCATCATGGCGCGCAGCACGAAGGAGGACACATTGAAGGCGTTGCCTTCCTTCAGCAGCTGCTTCTCTTTGGCACCCTGGCGAGCAAAGCCAGCCCTGTGGGATGGAGCCAGCATGGGCAGAGGGTTAATCCGGTGGCACTGAGGGGATGGGAGCATGGGGGACACTGCTGGCAGGGCACGGGATGGCCACTCACTTGAGGAAGCTCCAGGCCAGGCATGGGGACAGGCAGTGCAGCACGCAGGTGGGCATGTTGAAGATGGAGCAGAGGCTGGGCTCCAGCGCTGTTGGGCCTCCTCCGTTGATCATGATCACCTTATGGACCAGGTCTGGGTACTCGTGGGCAAGGAAGGTGCAGAAGGACACCCTGTGAGGAGAGACAGACATGGGGGCCATGCTCTGACCCCAAGGCACTAAAGGATGCTGCATCCCAAGGCTGATCCCAAGGATCCATGGCCATAGCTCCTCCTGTTTGACCTGTGCTCCCCCTCTCTGGCGCAGGGTAACCCCAGTCAAACCCCACAGCCGGTGCCCTGCAGAGCCTGGGCAGAGGGGCTGAACACAACCAGAGCAGGGTGCTAGGACCCACTTGGGTGCTCGCCAGGCTGGACCATCCTTGTCCTTCTGATCTAATCCTGCTGGAGCCCAGAGCTCCAGCTCCCTTTCCTCCCAGCACTGCTTTCTGTGCTGCTTAGTCTCTATCTAATTGACTTGCTTGGGCTTACTCTATTTATAGGCTGTGCTCTGCCAGCTTCCCTGCTGGAGGATGGCTTCTGGGATTAGCTGCACCCAGAAACACACGCCAAGATGCAGGAGACCAGAACTGAGGGATAACCCCACACCCCCCCTCTGCTTCTCCTTAAAGCGCAGGCTCTGGTAGGCGCTTGCTGCCAAGGAGAGGATGTGTTTGTGGGGGTGAAGCCACCCCTCCTGGGACCCCCCTGGTCCCTTACCCATACGAGTGTCCTATCAAGATGTTCCTCTTCTTGGCGTAGCGCTTGAACACGGCCCTCATGTCCTCGGCCAGCGCATAGAAGGTGTATGCAGCGGCAATCTGGGGC